CTGAGACTAATCTTAAGGATTCAGAGATTGTTGTGTTTTGGAAGTTAGATTCATAGCTAGTCTGACTTGTCATTTCAGTTCCTTATGTTTTCTTCCATACCTGTACAGAGGGAGTCAGTATGCATAAGATGGAAACTTGCCATCTCACTTTTTGACGTTATTAGTCCTACTGTTACATCAGCATTAAATATTTATGATAATTTATTTTTACACATTAGTCAATGAAACCATTATGCTTCCATCAGCATCTTTATGTAGTGGCTCTCTTCTTTTTCAGTTTAAGTACTTTTATTGCACACAATGAGCAGATGCCTATTACAGAAGGCCAGAATTTTCAAAAATAGCCAATACCTGACTTGACATATCTGATTTCCAGAAAATGCCAGATCTCCAGTCTCCGAAAATTAGCTCCTTTTGGTCCTCAAATTAGACATGAAAACTACATGGACAATATTAGCTAGTTGGATGCTTTAAAAGGGTTTTTTAAAGTGTCTGAACTTGTGAGACCAGTCTCTATTCTTTATGAACCATGTCCTTAACAATTTTGGACAAAGCTCTCTGAAACTATTCTTGCAGCTCTACAATCTTTTTCTGCCTTGGTAGAACAGAGAGTGAATTCTTCAAGCCCGAGTGAGTTTCTAATGGCGAAAAAGTTCTGGTTCATTTATTTTAAAACAAAGCAAAAACATGTTTCCCATATACATGTCTTTTGTCTAGTGGAACTGTTAACTGTTTTCACTCTTTCACTGTCTTGTTGTTGTACACTTTTTTTTTTCCTTTTTCAGCTTGATTTCCACTTATGTGTTCTATGGACACTGGATTTAATTTATCACAAAAACTGCATTGCAAAAAGAATCAGTCTTTTTCATCTTTATTTTTATATGTCATTAAGTCACTGAAAAATGTTAGTGTGCAACAGACAGGACCATTTTACATCTTTTTTAAGATTTGAAGATCTATTCATATATAACAACTAAACTAGTCATACCGTTTAGTCAATGTTTTACAGTATCTTGATTTCTCATATTATAGTGTGCGTGTTATGCAAGAGTTTGAGCAAAGGTTAGATCTGTGCAGGAACTGCTTGATGAATTGTGGCTCTCTTTCTGATAACTTATGAAAAATGTTGTGCTACACAAATGCCAATTCATCTGCATTTAATAGTTCTAAAACATACTTGGAAAAAGTCCTTTTATGTATGTTTTTTTTTTAATAGCCGCTTTTCATTGCCCATTTTATACTGCTGTTAAATATTTTAATAGTTCTAGTTCTAAGTATCCTGAAAATTGTCAGTCTTGACTCACTTCCAGAGTTAACTGTTTCTGATTTCCTTGTTCTAATGTTTTACATCTCTGAAATGTTGTGTAATTGTGCATGTGTATGTGTGAGAGAGACTTTTTAAAGCCTTTATTATAAAAATATTAAAAATAGAAAAGTGAAAGCGCAGAAGTGTTTGTGGCTTCACTCCCAGAAGCTGCACATGAAGCATTTGTCAGTAATAAAATAAGCATATTACCAGAGATTTGAAACTCCTCTCATTTGAAACTCCCAACATAATTCATGGGGTTATACATTTAGGACTAGTGACTGTCTTCCACAGCAGAATGTTAAGGGGCACTGTTGAAGCCAATGCTTGCAAACTGGTTTCTGTAGCTTTTCAAGATTGCCATCCTCAGTAGGAAATTTGCCAGGTGGCTTATGCTCCCTTCACCCACTTGATGAGGAATAGAGAAAATGTACAATCTTGAAGTCCAAGTCCAGCATGCTAAATAGGTTCACTAGGAAAGCAAAGAGTGGTTGCAGCTAAGGGCAGCTTGGGGGAAGGGGGGGTATGGTGGGGAAAAAGAGACTTAAAAAAAATCCTTTATTATAATAATAATTTAAAAAAAAAAAAAAAAGGTGAAAGTACAACACTGTGTGTGGCCTTGCCCCTAGGGCCAAGCATGCATTGCTTGGCAGAAAAAAAATACTCGTCACCAGAGATTGAAACACCCTCCCCCCAGTGTCTTCCATGATGTATGATAATTATCCCTGGTCAATAAGTGGGATGTATACAGAATTTAATTAATCATCGACTATTTCTTACTAGTGTTCAGCTGCCTTGGCTTCCCACTTAATAATATGTAGCTCACATTCCTCCCATTCACAATCACATATTGTCTCTGTATTTCTATGACACAAATGTACTTATAAGGAAAATATTTAACGTGTTTGCCCTTCTATCCAAGCGGGTGCAGATTTTAGGGCTTTGCCCAATGATTTTTCCACTGGATAAATTCTGTACAGTTAGCAACAGCTCCCTGATAAAGAAACTAAATCCCAGAACTGACAACGGTTCCATTTCTTTTTCGAAGATTGAATCTTGTTTATGTACTAAGAAAACTGTCTGTCAATATGCCAGAAGAATGCATGTAGTTGGTTGTGGTAGTTATTTTTGCTTTTGGGGTGGGGGATCTTTGGATGTTTCTTTGTTTGTTTATTTGTTGTAATATGTTAGCATCTGGAAGTAAAGCAATTTGTACCATGTCTGTTCAGGAAACTATAGGCAGGTATAAAATGATCCACATATTGCAAGCCACTGATGTAAATTAATTTGTAAATCCTTCAATGTGCTTGTTTAATTTTAGTTCAGTTTGAGAGGATGAAGGCGATTTGTAATTTAGTGGCATCAAATGAAAAGGTGAAATTATTGTTCTGTAGGGGGTTAATAAAACCTAGTCTAACACAGACTCTGCTTAGCTCTTATATCCAAATGGGCTGAAGGGGGATTAAGTTGAATTTTTATAGTGGGTTTGATCAGAGGCAAGCTTTTAAAAAAGTCTCTCTTATCCTGGCTAGAATATGTACTGTGGTTACTAGAAACAAACTTATTATTTTTTAAAGGAGGTGGTGAGGTGGGGGAGATAGATATCAGAAGTAAAGGAATTCTATCAGGTTGAATTTTGGACTGTGATAGTAGGCAGTGGGATGGGAAAGTTCCGCTATTGATGAAATACTCTATACTCATATTCAAGCCCTGGACATTCCTGCACAATTATAATAAAATTATATTGGTTAAAAAGATGGTTTATATTTTAAAACTAGACTAGAAAGTCTGTTTCATACAACTTTTCATCTGCTTCTGAGAAGAGAGAGAGAATTGGACCTTAAGAGATGAAAAGCTGCAATTCAAAAGGAAGTGATCCACCTCTCTCTTGTACTTATATTCCCACTTCTTTAATGGTAGATGAGCAGGTCTTTTAGCTTCTGAAACAGAAGTTGGATTCTGTTTTTAAGAATGAGCACATTTTAAACCCTCATCAATTTTCTTTGTAACATAGGTATCTAGAGATGAAGTAAAGGCCATGACAAATAGAATTACAAGGTCTTTTATTATTAACTCTTTGACCAGACAGACTGTAATTATACAGTAACATACCACAGAGGGACAGAATAATCCATGTAAGAGATATGTGCATGTATACTCTATACTGAGTACACAGATAAGCACAAAATTGTGCCAATAATCTGTGTTGCTGTATTCAAATAGCACTAAAGTAACCCAAAGAAAAACCTTACTAACTCATTGCTTTTATGTTGTTGCAGTTAAGTGATGGTGGCAAGGCAGCTCGAGCAAATGTGGGAATAGGCGACGTGGTTCTCACCATTGATGGCATAAGTGCAGATGGGATGACTCATCTGGAAGCACAAAACAAGATTAAGGCCTGCACAGGAAATTTGACTATGACTCTGCAAAGGTAAAAGTTATTTTCTTTTTAAAAAAAATAAACAAAATTAATAATTTTTAATCTCAATTGCTTTCTGGCTGATAACTTGTAAATGTGGTTACCTATGTGCAGTTAATGGCCATAACTGTAAGGTAATGTCTTGGTAGCCTTAAATGCATCTCTGTGTACTGCACCCCAGACAACTCTACTATGAACAGAGAAAGGCTTTTTCCAACCCACTGTTAGTCCATCCTGTGTAGGATAGACTTTTAACTCTGGTTTCCCCTTTTCAAGATCTGTTTTGTTGATACTAAAGAGTAACGCTGAGGAGATTTAAACTGAACTTTTTGCCTTCCCCCTTCCCAGGCTTGGATGCTTCTAGGGTTCCACCCTTCAGACTACTCAGCTCATACTCTATGGCTTCTTTTTCAAAAACTTTTCCACCTCTTTGTCTGAATGAAAGAAGTTGCTTGTTTCAATGATTCAGTGATCATTAAGTCCCCAGCTTCCCCCTTCCCTTTGGCTGCTGATAGTGGGAAGAGTAACAATTAAATAGCTATATTGAGAAAGCATTGATGTTTACTAGCTTCATAACCATCATGTCTGCTAGACTTCTTGTGAATAGAGTTAGATAGAATATCCAAATAGAATTAGATAGGATATCCAAAACATGAGTGGCTATCCTATATTAGTGGATTCATAATTGCTAACACAAACAGAATTTTAAAGAGAAGACTGTCTCAGCTTGACCAGTGTCTGTTAACAGGATATACTGCTTCAGGCAAACACTGCCAGCCTGTTATGGGTGGCTTACAACAGCTGTGTTCATTATACTAACAGATATGTACGTAAAGCTTTCTTCAGTGAGGAAGAACTACACTGAGAAGGCTGTTAACCCCATGCACTAGTAGAACATGTCGCCCTTTTTTACATTTTTCTCTTTTAAGTGAGTATTTAAGGTAGGTTGTAAAGAAATGACAGGAGATAAAACATTGTTGTTGATATGGGATTTGAGCCATGTTTGATTCAGAAGTTGATATTTAGGGCAGATGGTAAGAAACTGGTTAAAGTCAATGCCACCAGAGGCTATGAAACTATATATTTATTTGTCCTAGCTAATACATACCATTTTGAGCAGTGGCTCCCAACCTTTTTTTTTTTTTTGCTGTGACCCTAAATTCAGGTCATGACTCCTGCCCCCATAACTCACTCATGCCCAGCTGTGCCAGCAGAGCACAGACCAGGCCAGGATTGCAGGGGACAGGGGCGGGCAGCAGCAGTCATGTGCGAAGGGCAGCCCCACAGCCCTGATTTGGGTTGCAACCCAAGGTTGGGAGCCACTGATTTTAAGTATTTGGATTTTAGATTTATTTTAAATTGAAGGAGAAAACATTTTGTTTCCCTGGAAAGCAAGCTTGGGACCTTAACAGAATATGCACTACTTTCCAAGAATTACGTAGAATTATCAAAATGATTATCCTTTTTCTATTGGAAGGACAGACTGTAAAAACAGAAGGCACTCTTTTACAGGGATTATACGTTTTCCAGCTGTCCAGACTGTCATTTCTCTTTGTTCTCTCTGTTCTCCTTGAGCTTTAGGTAAATTCTGTTACCCAGATGATCCCATTAATTTACTGTACCAGGAAGATGGCAGGAGATAGCTTTCTTCTGGTTTTCACTGGCCCTCAGGTGCCTATGACAAGGAGAACCTTCTGGTTCTGTTCCTGGATGGAAGGGCAGGCTGGAAATCAAATGGAAATCACAGTCCTCACCTGTAGTGTATATGCATCTTATTTGAGGAAACCAGATGTTAGAAGCACGTGTAGGAAATAAGGTCATTATGTGCAGTTTGGGGACTGACTGGCTAAACAGCAGCTCTGCAGAAAAGGACCTGGGGGTTACAGTGGACAATAAGCTGAATATGAACCAACAGGGTGCCCTTGTTGCAAAGAAGCCTGACAGCATACTGGGCTGCATTAACAGGAGCCCTGCCAGCAGATTGAGGGAAGCGAGTTTTCCATGGTATTCATCAGTGGTGAGGCCACATCTGGAGTACCATTTTGGGCCCCTTACTACAGAAAGGATGTAGACAAGTTGGAGAGAGTCCAGTGGAGGGCACTGAAAATGGTTAGGGGACTGTGGCACATGATTTTCAAGGAGAGGCTGAAGGAACTGGGCTTATTTAGTCAGGAAAGAGAAGACTGAGGGAGGATTTAATAGCAGCCTTCAATTATCTGAAGGGTGGCTCCAAAGAGGATGGAGCTAGACTGTTTTCAGTGGTGGCAGATGACAACAAAGAGCAATGGTCTCAAGTTGCAGCACGGGAAGTTTAGGTTAGATGTAAGGAAAAACTGTCTCACTCAGAGGATAGTAAAACAGTGGAAGAGGTTACCCAGAGAGGTGGTGGGGTCTCCATCCTTGGAAGTTTTTAAGACCTGGCTAAACCTTGGCTGGGATGATGTTGGGGATGGTCCTGCTTTGAGCAGGGGGTTGGACTAGATGACATCCTGAGGTCCCTTCCATGCTAATTTTCTATGATTTTATGATTCCATCATGTCAGCCAGTCACAAGAAGCCCAGATTTCCATTGTCTTTACAATTAGTCCACCTGCCATTTTTCCTTTCAGTTATAGTTATATCACTTACAGCATCTTCATCACCCAAGAACAGTCAGGAAGCCCAATGACTCATTTTTTGAAGTCCTCTTGACTGAATTTCCTACAGGCAGTTCTGGAGAGAAATGGTTTACTTGTCCTCTGCTTCCTCACAAATTGCTGGCAAAACTAAAGGAAAGATGGTGGGATTGATAGTCAGGTCTCATTCAGACACCAGGCCTGTCTGGGCTTGCTGCTTTCTAGATATGAATATGATTACTTAAAAGGTTTGGGATTCAAGTGAGCTAATATTAAATGAGTTAGTCCTTTTAGCCCAATACAGGATCTGACTCATTGGAGCCTGCTACATGACAACTGAAGGATGTGTCATTTATCTCAGGATTACCCTGCTGCAGATCAAAGAAACAATCCTCTCATTCCAGTCCCAGCATCTTTTCACTATGTGAGGGGGACTGATATCCTGCCTTGAGGTCATGCCAGTTCATAGTTCCATGTTTTCCAGCTCTTTCCAATCCTTTCCCAATCCCATAAGAAAGAAGTATTAGGTAACTCTCTCCTAGATCCCTTGGCTATGAATACATCACAGCTTTGGTTGTTCAGTAACAAAATTGTTTTGATTTTTTTTTTAAAGTAAAGGGGGAAGGGTGGAGAGCATCTGTGTGCGTGCTTTTTTTTTAAAGATTGGTTTGATTCATAATAACTACAGATACTAGCTGCTTGTAGGAGGCATTCCTCTCAGGAGAAATTAAGGCAGTCTGATGAGCTTTATAAAATGACTTCTATTTTTTAAGGGAATTTTTTTAGGGATTATTTTCCCCAAAAGACTGAAGTAATGAGGGAGATGCTAAGGTATGATGTTAGCTCAGGATAAAGAATGTTTTAAAACAATGTGATATTTAAAATAGGTAGGAAAATCTGAGATTTATTATAAGCAACTTTCTTCTGTGGTGTTTTTCTACTTGTTTTTATTTTCGCTCTTTGTTATGTATTAACACAATGCCAAAATGTTTGACTTTCAAATACACTGCTAGACTACCCATCCATAGAACTGAATAAGAGGGGATGTGGCTTGCACAGAAGAGGGAATTTCACAGATAGCAGTTCCCTGTTTTATTTTGTTTTTAATATCTGTCAAGGTATCCTTGCACTGTACAGAAAAGGATGCATGGTGGTGGAGAGACCATAATAAACCAGGAAAGGGTGGAACTTAAGGAATTAGAAGATACTGGGGGGTGGGGAGGATTAATATGGTACCGAAAACATAGTGCTTCTGCTTTTTTTTTTTTTTTTTTTTTCTTAATTACAAAGGTACTTTGAGTTGTGGTATAGTTGACATATGTTGGTGTAGTTTTACGATGCGGTTAAAGATGAGGAAAGAGGCCATCATTTCTTATTCAGTTAGATAGCTGAGTTATAATCAGGATAA